GCCTCCAAAAACACAACAAATCCAAAAATGCAACAACAAATCCAAAAACAACAAATCAAAAAGCACAATAAATCTATAAATGCAAAAATAAATCTCAAAAGGAGGAAGAAATCCAGATGCAGCAGCAAATCTAAAAGCGCAACGAAAAGTGTTATGTAATAAATCCAAAAATGAAACAACAAATCCGCAAATACGCAAATGTAAAACACAACAGCAGTTCAAAAACACAACAAATTCAAAAATGTAACAACGAATTCAGAAACCGAAGCATTCAGATAAATGTTGTTCGTAAGGAGAGAGAAACCCGTTCTTTTAGTAGTTTAACTCAAAGTTTCTGAAGAAGCTCCGTTTATTGTCCACGCACTGTAGCCGCAGTCTCAGTCTGGGCTTCCCTCTCTGTTGTCGGTACCGGCGTGGTTTTAGATTTTTTCTTCATGGTTCTTCATTTACTGTTCTTAGATCTGTTGGGCTGGTTTGAGGATTTTGTTCTCCAGTTTGGGTTTGCTGGTGTGTATTTAAGGTGGCCAGTGGACAGGTGGCTAGCAACTGGAAGGTCATGGGTGTAAATGTTTAAATCTCAGGACTGACTGGGGATTCCTGGTTGTGCTTTTGGGCAAGACACTTACTAACCCCCCCCACCCAAACCTGCCCCAGCGTGGTGGTGGGGGGGCATTTGCTCTGCTGGATACACTTTGCTACTCCCAGCCTGGGCATAGTGGAAGTGGATCAATACCTCAGTGTATTTGAAGTTCACTTCATGTTCTTTTTACTGGTCCAGCACTGAAACTCAAACTCCCAGAATGCACCTCTGGAAGCCCAGCTCCTAGGTGCGTCTCTGTGGCAATACACTGTTGTTATGGAAACAGTGATTCAACTGTAACGAACGAGACTGAAGGAGAAAGACTCTAAACACATGCACACTCAGAACCGGAATGGCCCAGTATTCCACCAGTTAGCCCTCCATCTGACACTAAGCCAGTGAAATCCTGAGTAATCCACAGTAATCTCTCCGTCTCTCTGATGAGACAGGCTGGAAAATATGCTCTGGAGGTCGGGAAACTTTGGAACTGCAGTGTGTGTGTGTGTGTGTGAGTGTGTGTGTGTGAGTGTGTGTGTGTGTGTGTGTGTGTGTGTGACGGAGTAGTGTACATGCCTATTAATGCAACTGGCCCTCACAATAAATCTAACAACACTGTGTGTGTGTGTGTGTGTGTGTGTGTGTGTGTGTGTGTTGGAACTGTGGGGGTTTTATTCTTCTTGACTTTTTCACATCTGTAAGTGTGTGAAGTGTGTGTGCTCCCAACACTGTGACACTCAGTAAATTTAACACTCAGCTAGAAACACAGGGAAACTGATAAGAACAGTCTTCACCTCGGTAGTCATGGCAACAGCCAAGCTGAGCTTCTCAGTGCTCATGCATGAGCAATGATGGATCAGTGAAATAATCGGTGATTATTGTAAGTTAGCATTAAAAACATCGTTGGAAAAAAAGGTTGATTTGAATGGTAGACTTTAATGAAAAAACTGGGGGTTTCTGCTGTTTGGCCAGCAGGGCTAGTAGGGTGCACTTCACCAGCCAACGCCCACCCCAAAGAATGGTGGTAGCGTGGTTGCTGCTCACTACCAAAACACACCCACGCTCCTGAGCAGCACACCTGATTGACCTGTGATGCTGCGTTCACATGTTGGCGCTGAAAAATGTCCCACACCTCATTGCAGTACATGACTGACGCTGACATGAAGCCGTGCAAATGTTGCTATGGTGACCACATTACCGGCCAAAATGGATAATGGAGCTTTTTCAGTGTAGATTGATTCTTTAAGGTGGAGAAAGTCAGGAGCACACCCTGCACTCTTTTACTGTTGGTGTATAATACCGGGATTGTCTGTGATTCAACAACGACATGTTTGGCTTCCATGGCTCCAAAAAAATCAACATCCAGTTTATTCACCATCATGGTCGATGGCAAAAGTTGGAAAATCTTCATAGAAGATTTGCTTTGCACTGTGGAAGTCTCCGCTGGCCATGTCAGTATTTTCCGTCACGGCTTTATTGAAAGCAATGGAATACTCGGTTTGCCATCGTCCATCTCGTGTCTATAGGTGGTAGAAGATGAGTGGTGCTGAGCCACTTTGCAGTGTGTTTAGTGTGCTGTGCATGGTTACCAACTTCAGCTGAACTGGTACTATAACAGACCTCTGATTCAGAGCTCTGCTTCGTACACATTGTACAATTTTATTTTTTATTTTTTATTGTGTTTTATTACACTGATAAAGGCCAAATGTTTTGTTTATGGATATTATGCCATTATAATATATGAAGACTTGACATTGCTGATTGCTGATTGATGGTTTGTGTGTGTGTGTGTGTCTGCAGGCTGGACTCCGGTATTGTGCGGCTGACTCAGCGCCTCTCGCTGAAGGACAGGCACTGGAAACAGGAGAAGAGTCTGCAGTGCACACCACCAGCCTACAGGAGGCGCTCTCTCAGCCTTGACTG